CTACAACGGCATGAAGCCACAAGCACCGACAGACTCAAGTTCTGGCACTTTGAACCAAACGGCGACGAGGCAACACCGGAAGAGAAGCACAAGGAGTTCCTCTCCAAACTCGTGACGCGGTTGTTGTATGCTTGCAATTACCAACGGTCAGAGTTGGAGAGACAGTACCAGGACCTGACGCAACAGCATCAGGAGTTGGCACAACTCCGCCGCATGGTGCAGAGCCACGAGGATGCAACCCGGGCACTCAATGCCCGATTGCTGGACCTAGAACAGGCTGTACCAGGACCAACTGCTGGGGCTTCCAGCAGTGCACCCTCGAGCCGCCAACTGGAGGACCGCGTTGACCACGTAGTGGCAATGCTCGGCGACATCAGCACCTTCGCTGCGCCGACCACCACCATCAGCAGTCAGCTGCATACATTGAAGACCGAGGTCCAGCAGCTGCAGACGACGAACGGGGATGGCAATCCGAAGATGTATCAGATGCCAACCTTCAATCTGGAGAGGTTCGGCGACTACATGCAGCAGGATCCGGTCCTCTGGTGGGAAGCATTCACAACACAACTCAGGATTCTGCCCGTAGCCAAGCATGCGTACATCGGCGCCCTGTTCCTGAACTCAAAGGGCGGATGCCAGACCTGGTTGAGCCACCTGGCAACCTCCCACGGCGTCGACGTACCAGACTTGAAGGACGTAATCACATGGGAGGAACTGACACGGCTGTGGAAGAAGCGGTTCATCGTCGACGACGCGCCGGCACTCGCCATCAACCGTTTGTTCACCATGTCACAGGGCRACACARCAACACGGGACTGGCTCACGGAGTGGCAGAAGATTGCGGTTGTGCCCAATCTGAACTTACCATTTGAGCATCTACGCCGTGAGTTCTACAACAGGTCCTGTGTTGCATTGAGCCAAGCTCTTGGTGATCGCGAGCAGTACTCAACCTTTGCTGAGATTATTGACAAAGCAAGGGAGATCATCAAGACCAACAGGTCAGCTGCACACGAGAAATCAATATCATGGCAGCCGACCTATGTGGAGAAGGTACGAACTGGTCCGCGACAGCAGCACTTCGCTGCAGTCCAGCAGGACAGTGGAGATAACCCGGCAGCCACTCCAGCATCAAGTGACGGAGATCAAGTGCCCGTTGTCCAGCCGCGAAGCACCAACAAGTCCCGCAACAATGGGAAGGCGAAATCCGCATCGCAGGCCGGAAATGGACAGCGAGGACAGTTTCCATGGGTCAAGTTTGGCTTGACCGAGGTGGAGTACAAGGTCCGCGGCCGCTACGGCAGCTGCTATTGGTGCAACAGCACCAAGCACAAGACCTCCCTGTGCCAAGATTAGGGCAAGGAGGATGTGCAACCCCGCCTCAGCTCGGGAAACTGAGCTCCGCGGAAGGTGAGGAGGCTCCGCGGAAGGTGAGGCGACTCCACCTTCTACTCCGCCAGATTTGGCCGCCTTGGTAGCGGCCTCCTGCACATCTGGGGAGGATGCGAATGTAGTATACCGAGGATTATGCTGTCCACTTGGTTCCACCGTTGGACCAACCGCTCCACGTGCAACAGTCCACCGCATGCACGATTTCATCACCATCGGCAACCAATTCGGCAGCTTCGCCGCAATCTGTCGTCGGGGATTCGACGTCATGGTCAAGACTTGAAGAGCTCGACCCATTGACGTTCACGGACTTCGAGTGGATGCCCGTTCCCTCGACCGGACGATTGTCGAAACCGCATTGCAACGTGCTTATGGCACAATTGCGGGACTACTTGCACATTGCAGTACCAGCTCCGTTGATGGACGCCTCGCGTACATCGCGAAGATCGACCGCGAGTTCAAGACGCAACGGTACGACGACATCGACGCACCATTGCTATACGTACGCATTCAGATCGGTGAGGCGACCTGCAGTGCCTTGATCGATTGCGGAGCATCTCGCAACTACATCAGCCAGGACTTCATGGTACGCGCCGGCCTTGGCCCACGTGTCCGGAGGAAGTCCCAGCCTACGCAAGTCACGTTGGCAGACGGTCATACGCACAAGTCAATTGACCAGTGCATTGACGCCGTCCCCGTGTACTTTGCCCCTCACGCAAGTGAGGCGGTGTCCTTTGATATTCTGGACACCAAATTTGACATGATTTTGGGCATGTCATGGCTGCGAAGCAAGGATCACCCGGTGANGGTGGCTATGGCCGCTACTACCCTATCGCTATGGCTACACTCCTCTCTCGCCCACTTCGTCCTCGGGCTCACTGCAGACCACCTCGCATAAGTTGCTTATGGCAGCGCTTCCGCATGGCTTACGCAGGAATGAATGAATGACTGGGCGCTGCCTCTTGATTTATACTTCTGCAGCTCGTTGGTCTGGCTCTCTCCCATGCCCGTAGTGCACACAGTCCCATGCGGTACTTGCTTGACTGGACCAGGACTAACTGGGACTGCTGACTCAACACGGGTAGACTCCACCACTTGCCTCACCACTTGCCCACTTGCATTAGCCTAAACATGGGCAACTTCAAAAGGCCACTACTCGGACCTTCCGGAAGGCCGTAGACTTGCCTTTCAATACTGTAGCAGCTACGACCTTGACCTTTCTGGACTGTAGCAGCTACGGCCTTGACTCTTCGAGAAAGCTACAGCTACGACTTCTAGACCTGACTGAGACTCCTACTCAATAGGTCTACAGATCGAACCCCTGCTACCTATGGACCCTACGACAGCCCACCAACTGTTACAAATACACAGGTCACGGGTTCAACTCTAGGGGTCGACACAGATACTGTGCACGGGTAAGGTGGGGACTAGGGATCGAGCCCTGGGATCTGCATCAGCTACTGCGAACTAGCGAATACCGTTTCAAAAAAAACCCGACCACCGAAAATGACAGAAACCGGGAGGGAGGGTGAAGGAATGGACTTGGACCAGACAGGAGGCAAGGCAAACGATGAATCAAGAGGGAGGAACAGTCCACCAGACGCTGGCTCCACAGAGGAAGATGATCGATCCACACAGTCTCTGACCTGGCTCAGAGATTACGCGGAAAAGGCAAAAAGAGAAAGGGAACATGCGTTCGACGTCCAGGTAGCCTGCCTGAAACATGCAGAGAGACCCCAAGTGAATGGAAAGAAAAATCCAATTGCGGGGATTAACAGCTCCTCTAACCACTACGAAATGCTAAAAAAGGAAAAAGCAGAAGAATTCTCTGAATACGCAGCTTTCAGGTACGCGGAAAAGAAAAGGGCAAGGGACCAAGGAACATAGGATAAGGACAAAACCATCCCTACAACTAAGGACAACTTCCAGTATCTTCGACCCAAGGCAAGGAAAATAGGAAAAAAACAGAAACGGAGGGAGTCCAAACAAGCGGAGGCAGAAGAAAAATCAGAACGTGACCTCCTGGAAAAAGAAGCGGCTGTAGTGCTCTCCCAAACAAAAAAACTGAGAAAATGGAACAAGGAATATGCTCCCGAATTCACTACTATTACTCAGATTGCGAGCGGAAAAGCCCCAATGGTGTCCGAATCGGCCAAAGCTGCTCGCAGAACGCTGAGAAACATCCGACCACTCATTGCAGCCAGGTACGTGACAAAGGCAAGGGAGTGGCAGATCGCAACAGACATAGCCTTCAAGATCCCTCACTTTGTAGAAGGGGGGAATGTGATCAAATTGCTGAACAAACAGATAACAATGGAAACCCCACTGGGACTGTTTGAGACTGTTGCCATGGAAGAGAACCAGATTGACATCAGCACGCAAGAGGAGCCAGAGAGCCTCCAAAAAAGCATGGGCGAGATGAGCAGAACTTCCCCGAGAGCCTTTTCCCCCCTAATAGCCAAGATGCCATAATCAACAAAGCTAAGATCCGAGATGACCTAGAAACCCTGGTGAACAGTGGTGGAGGTTCCTTATAGCATCCTAGCAGATATTGGTGTGTCGGCGGAACTGATGGCTACAGCTGTGGCACACATTGTCAAATCAGGGCAGCTGGAAGGGGATGAAGATCTGGAGGCAAGAGCACACGCCATCGACTGTGAAAGATTCTACAGAAGTGATGCTTCAGATTGCTCCTCGTGGGACGGGGACGACGAAAGAGAAAGGCTGGATTTGCAATCCGATCTAGTAAAAGATGGTAGTGGACAGATTGAGCTAGACGGATTAGCCACCACGGGAGAAAATGCACTCCCCCCATCAAAGGGCAACGGACCAAGGACCGCTCAGGTGACATCCGGAGAGGGAGCAAACACGGAAACTCCTCCCCCCCTTCCCCACCTAGAGGTCCTTCTATCAAGTAAAGCCCCCAACTTGATACGACTGCTCCCATGGATAGCTACAGGAAAAGAGCGTACGAGGCTGGGGATCACATTGATTGGAGAAGTCAAGGATTAGTCCTTAGAAGCTGGAATGTCAATGGACTGGGGAATATAGTGGAAAGAGAAGAAAAATGGAATGACCTATTAAATGGATTAACGATGCAGAACAGGAAAACAGTGGGCATCGTGCTATTACAGGAAACGCACCTCACCTTCTCAACTGAACATCACAGAATTCGCTCATTTGTGGCAAGGAAATTAGGTGGCCTGAAAGATGAAATTTGGTCGACAGACCCTGAAGCAAGTTCCAAGGGGACGGCTATCCTGATTCCCAATTCCTCCTGCCTATACAACAAAGGCTCAATCTTAGATAAAAGAATCGACCAGGCGGACGGACGATGGTGTCTGTTACACCTAAAATGGAAAGAAGAAGAATTCATGCTTATTAACATATACGCACCAAACTCGACATCAGAAAGGACGGTCTTTCTGAGAAATCTTAGGAACCTGATTCCGCCATTGATCCCCTGTGTACTGGCGGGAGACTGGAATGCCACAATAGACCCGACAACAGATCGTATATCTCGATCCTCCAACACCCCAAACTCAACAGAAGCAATATCAATTCAAGAATTGATGATGGACCACAATCTGGTAGACCCTTATAAGATCCTATACCCTAACAGAAGAACATTCACCCTGATCAAGTAAAATCACCCACGCCACACCGCTTTCTCACGAATAGATTATTTTCTGGTATCAGAAACTATGATGGGGGCAGTTAAGGATGCAGAGGTGCTACCTTTAGCCCCCTACACAGGGCTGGACCACAAACCAACAGAGTTGGTAATATGTTTTGACCAAGTGGTTAGAAAGGGAGCCAACTTTCACAAGCTCAACAACTCGCTCCTGCTTAGCCAGACCTTCCAAAATGAGGTGTGTGCCTGTTGGGAGGGCCAGAGGTCTGCGCACCTAAGCACGGAACCCCGATGGGAATGGTTCCAAAAGAGTTACTCTATTCTCTCAAACACGATGGCCAAAGTTTCCAGGAAGCTTGCGTCCATAAGGAAACAAAGGAGACAATCGCTATAATTTGCTCTAAAACTAGCAGAAACCAACTTGGTGAACAATCCTTCCTCGCCTCTGTATAACGATATCTTTGAGAAGGCGCGAGAGGAGCTGGCTATGTGGAAGTGGTGGGATTTGAAAGGTCTCCAAATAAGAGCCAGAATGTGCGAGTATGAGCTTAGTGACTCAATGACAAAACATTTTTTTGCCCGAATCAAGGCAAATTCGAGAGCTAACACAATAGAAGGCTTGAGAGCTACTACATCCCCGGAGACTGTGAGATCAGACAGTGAAGGGATGCTAGAGATAGCCAAAAAAAATTATAAGGACCTCTACCACTCGAAGACTGCTACACCGACATCCCCCAACATAAGAGAGGCAAGACAGAAAATGCTCCATTATCTAGAACGGACAATATTAACCGAACAGGCCGAGGCACTCGACAAACCAATCACACTCGAGGAGTTACACCATGCTCTAAAAGGTATGAACAATAGCAAGACCCCTGGAATCGATGGGTTAACGAGAGAAAAGTTCTGGCCACTTCTAGGAATGGACCTGCTAAACTTTTACAACGATAGTTGGACCAAGGGGGGGTTGGGTAACTTACTCAGCAGCAGCGTGGTCACACTACTTTACAAAAAAGGTGAAAAAGACGACATTAAGAACTATAGGCCGATCTCACTCCTAACTCTTCCATACAAAATTTTGGCCAAGGCCCTTTCCAACCGAATCATCAAGATCACAAATAAATGCTTCCACATTGATCAAACAGGTTTCATCCCAGGACGATATATTCTAGATAATGTACTGACACTGAATGAGGCGGTAAGAAAGATTAAAGAAAGGAAAATAAATACAGCCATACTCTTCTTTGATTTTGAAAAGGCGTATGATTAGGTAAACTAGGATTTCATGGAAGCAAGTATGGAAAAGATGGGAGTAGGACCGAATTTTAGAAAATGGGTTCGTATATTGTACAAGGATGCAGTCGGTTGTGTCCAAGTTAATGGACTGCTGTCAGAATGCTACCCAATCTCCCGTTCGGTCCGCCAAGGGGACCCATTGGTCCCATCGATCTTCCTATTGATAATGGAAGCTATTGCATCCGTCCTGCGCAAGGATCCATCAATCCAAAGACTATCCAGTACCAATATAGGCTCGGCCCATCAAATGGACTTTCCCACAACCATCATGTTTGTGGATGACCTAACTGTCCTTATTAGAGCAGTGGTCCGTAACTTGGAATTTGATCCAGCTGAGTGGGCGTGGATGTCGGACAAGGCTAAAAACATTAGAACCAAAATCCCAATCTACGACTACACAGTCAAATTGGGGTATAGACTGTCTCTGAAAACCAAGAACCCAGACCCTATCATCAAAAACAGATGGCAGAACCTATTGGGGCAAGAAGCAGACAAACTCCCACAAATCCAATGGAAAAAATTCAAGTTGATCAGGCCAATTAAAATCAGAAGTCTGCAATGGCTAATCGCCTATGCAGCACTACCAGTGAATTAATGGCTACACACTAGACGAAAGGTCTCAGATCCTAACAGCTCAGAAATATGCACAGTTTGCTCGGAAGGTGAAGTTGAAGATATAGTCCGCTGCCTAGTGCACTGCAGAGAGGCGACAAAATACTGGGCGAGAGCCTCGACACTCTGGGACTCACTCTCCTTCCCTAAGCAACCCATCCAACTTCTCCTCTTTACTAACATCCCTGATCATCTCAGAAAGGCAGAAAAGATCTGGTTTGGTCTCATCAGGAAGGTGACGCTATGGGTCATATGGAAAGAGAGATGCAGCAGAACAATTGAAAGACAGTCCAACCCACGGGAGAAGGTTTGGGTGGAAACCAGAACGATGATACAAGCCGAGATCCTGTGCAGATGGCGGAAGACCAAGCAATCATGGACAGAAGATGAGGAACAGCGAAAGAAGAAGAGATTGAGGTTTAACAAGAACTGGCTGATAGACGGCAAGATTGCAGAGATACGTGAAGATCGTATCTGCTGGAGAGAGTGGCATAACTCGGTGGCAGAAAGAGGCATCCAACAGCGGACAACTACTGGTGGGCTAATGACTTCTTGAGAACCAACTGAAGAATGACAATGCATCGAAGGTTGAGGACTCAGGGATGAAGCGGTATCCAAAAGGAGAAAGGGTATGTGGGGGACAGGAGACAGGATTGGTCACGAGCAGGCTGGCTAAGCTCTTAAGACAGCTGGAAAAAGTGAACATACCCACTCTAGGAGAAATGCTATGCAAGCGGCAAAATTTAAGGCAGACGCTCCACGAAGACGGGAAACAGCAGAATAGTGGCGGAATTAAAACACGACCGGGTTACCGGATCTGAAGGCAGAGCAGGATTCGAAGTACCACTGATGAGGACTTAGGGCTTAAGGGCAAAAAATGATTTCTATAAGGGAGTTAAGGTGGGGCAGAGGATTGTGGACCTCTCGGGTAGTCTTGGCAACATGGGATATAAAGACCAGCGGGGTCGGGGAGTGTTCTCTTTCAAGGTAACGATTGAAGGACTGTCCAACCCATGCGAGAAAGTTTGGGTGGAAGGACTCACAGACAACTGCGGGTGGACAAGACATTCCATGATCAGACATCCACGAGGGGTGGATAAGACGGAAGTAAGGGTGTCATAGAGCAGGATAGTAGTCGAGGGTTTAGGGATTAAGGGTTTAAGGGATTTTCAGACGGTAGAGAAACTTCGGGCAGGGGACAGGGTGGCTCTCGGGTAAGGATGGATAAAAGGAAGTACAAGGGACAGACAAGACAACCGGGCAAACTCTTTCTAGGAATTTAGAACTATCTGACGGACCTAGCCACCAGGTCTGAGAGGAGAGAGGGTGTCATGGCAAGATGACAGTCAATCCTCCGTCAAGACGGAGTAATCAATGCTGCTCAGGGGTCCTTCGGCCAGACGGAAGGAAGCGTGAGTGTGTCTTAATTGTTGTGTATAATTCCGACTGGCCAGTGGAGTAGGAACCGGACTGACGCTCCCCAGAATTTTTTGTTAAAAAAAAAAAAAAAAAAAAAACGACCACAAAGGGAGGGGTCGTCTCTCAGACTCTCTTCGTAAATCCATACTGCAGATGACCACCGCCTTTTGGATCACGGTTCGGTCAGCAACTTGGGGAAATCATGGGTTGAGAGGGGGGTAATTAGGGCAGAGGAATTACAGGATTAGGAAAGAAACTTTTGGAAGGAAGATGATGAAATCAGCGAAAAAACTGGTGCATCTCAGAAATGTACCAAGTCACCATCAAGAAGTGAGGGCAGCTATTCCTCCAGGATGGGCACAGATTCTATGACATCATCCTATTCCAGGGAGCCCTGGGGGGCACCAGAACCCTCTGCATTCCCCACCCCTCTTTCACCCTCTATCAAACCTTCTACTCTTCCCCCCCTGCGGACCCGGGCTCTCCTGATCTTCCTCCGCTTGTCCTTTGTTCGAAAAACTTCCACTATCGACATTGCCTGCGGGGGGGGGAAATCCTGGAAGCCCCCCGCCGGTCTCAGGGGGATACCTGGGTCTATGTCTGTCCAATTTATAAACCTGAGTTTGTAATATCTCTGCAGAACCACTTACTTCCTCCTG